AGCACTTGGGTTTGTTGCGATCACACAGGGATCTAAATCATGGTCACAAAACAATATATCGTGCAGCACTAAATGATATCCAAAGAAAAAGTGTGAGAAGATCTGAGCTTCACTTTCCTGCTCTCTTACTGACATCTCCTGGACAATGTGTTCTGGTAGGCAAATCTGAATGGAAGGCTTCAAGGTGGAAGGAGTAGAATGATCTCTCTCAGCCCAGAAAAGTGTAGACAGTAAAAAGCCCCATGTGGACAGGACACCCAGCAGGACAAAGGTGAGATAAGACATCGGTGGTTGACAATTATAGTGAGAACTCAGATCAGTCTTTCCTCTGGGGTATGCAGCCTTCCATCTCTAACACCTCAGGCCAGCCCTCAAATTTGTTGGTGTCGGCACTGTTCTTTATAAGCTGAGGAGGGAAAGAAGAAAACAAGATGCATATATATATATATATATATATATATAAAATGGAAAACCAGATAAACTGCATTGTTTTAAACCAGATAACCTGCATTGTTTTTATGACCCTAAACAAACAGTATCTTGTTCAAGCCACTAGCAGTGAGTGACCTTGTAAGATTAAAAGACAAAGCTTATGTCAGAAAGAAAATATTGTATTTCCCAACCAACAGCTGACATGAACAGGTTTGGGCTGTTAAGTGTGCTGATAAACACACACATAAGTGTGTGAATCATAAGTGGTTTGCATGTTAACGATCACACAACGCCTGTTTGTCCTCAAACACTTACTACATTACTACCAGAAGACTGAATGGTATTTCCTGCACTTGAAATTTTTATCTTCTAACTCAAATAAATATTTGTGAACATACAGTATCTATTCAGAAACACTGATATAAAGACAGACCAAACTCAAATTTCAAATCAATGTGACTTCTATTGCAATCAAGCTTAATGGGACAAAATACAAGAAACTACCAAACGACATGCAGTAAGACTCAAGTCTTACTGCATGTCGTATAACCCTTAAAAGTGCAGTGTGTAAAATGCAGAAGGATTTATTAGCAGAAATGGGCCAAATTTATGTTTCCAATAACATGTATTCACCAGAAAATAATCCCTGGGGTTTCTTTATCTTTCAATGAGATTTTTTATATCTACATAGGAGTGGGTTCCCTATCATGGAGGCCACCGAACTGAACCACATTTTTTTACAGTAGCCCAGAACAGACAAACCATACACTGGCACTAGAGCATAAAGTTCACATTTTTTACAGTGAAGTAGCATCTTTGATTTGGAGATGTGTGGAAGATGAGGTAGTGATGTTAGAAACAAGAGGAAGTGTTGTCATGAGTTGAAGAACTGTAATTAAATAAAAAAAAAGGAGTACCATATTTATACTTTAACACAAGATACAGGAAGAAAGTGTGAATCCCCATCATCTTCTTCTTCTTCTTTTGGCTGTTCCTGTTAGGGGTCGCCACAGCAAATCATCTGTTTCCACCTATCCTCAGCATCCTCTACTCTCACCCCAATTAACTTCATGTCCTCTTTTAGCACATCCATATATCTCCTCTTTGGCCTTCCTCTTGACCTC